AAGAAAAATGAGGTGGATTTAGTGGTAGAAATCTACGTGGTGGTGCAACTTGGATTTAAAATTTTTGAGATTTGAGCTTTCTGTAGACCTTTTAGTAAAGGGAGATTAGTGTAGCGGTGCTTTACACTCTTACTATGAAACACTGCTGTTGAGTGTCACCTGGAGTGAGTGTACTAACACTTGAACATGCATCCTTTATGATTCAGACAACAACTGTAGTATTCACATGCTAATTTATAGGCTTACTGAGCCATAGAAATTGAGTGAATTAATTAATCACATGGCTATAAGTGATGAGTATTATTTAGCTCAGATTTCTTTGCTTATATAATTTTAATGTTTTACTTGGGAAACTTGTTTATGGTCTTTTAGTTAGATTTCTTAGAAAGATGACAGGAGAAATGAGTCATAAATACTACTGAAAAAAATCAAAATTCTTGAGGAAACTTATGATTAAGGAAGATTAAATGTAGCTCTTAAATTTTCTAAATTATACTTAGAATTCACCAGAGGGTTCATACTGGTATTGATGACATCCTAGGTGAAGCTTGGCCACACTGAGTTGCGTACAATTCACATGGGCTAGAGATACCCAGAGTGAGGTACCTAGAAGTATTTGTGACTATAATACTCTGGTCTTAGTTCTAATCTTTTGTAGTTCCACACTGACTCACTTCTTTTCCAGAGGCTACTGAATAGTTTCCACTAGAGTGCTTTAAGTGTTAAGATATTCAACGTCATCCTGCTCGTGTGTTCTAATTCCTGTTGCTGGAATGAAGCTAATATCTGGCACTTTTTAACCTCACATTTGCTTTCATAATAAACCGTTGCTTTAAGGTTCTGAGCAAATCAGGCTACAAGGTGGGTTTTCTTTTTTCTAATTTGGGTTGTGTGTTTTCTTAAATACAGGGATTTTGGCTTCTCCACAGTCTGCTCCTGGAAACCTGGACAATAGTAAAAGTGGTGAAATGAAAGGTAACGGAAGTGGAGGAAGCAGAGAAAATAGTACTGTTGACTTTAGCAAGGTAATTCAGTAATTGTAAGTTTTCATTAGCTTTCCTACTGAGAAAATAACTAGTCATGTGTTGCTTTGCTGCTGTTGCTGACATTGACTGTTCAGTAGACTGCTGTGTATATACTTGCGTGGTATCTTGTGAGGTGGTAAGGACAGGAACTGGGATAGTCTCCAAGTATTTGGAGTTTCAGTGGCTGAAAAGAAAATTTCCTTTCATGTACATTGTGTGTATAAACTAATCTGGATTGAGACCATAAAGAATAATTAGCAAGTTGTGTTTATCAGTTTATGGGCCATGAAAAGGACTTCTCTGCAATTCATATGTATTCTCACATTATAGAAAACTTATGAGTAGGGATTTTGACTATTCAGAAATAGTATTCATCTGGGCATGCTGGCATGTTGCTGTAATCCTAGTTATTCTGAGGCCAAGGCAAAGGAATCTCGTTTGTGGCTAGCCTGGGTTACATAGTGAGTTCTAGACTACCCTGAACTAAATAGCAAAATCTTATCTTCAAAAACAAATCAAACAATAAAAGGCTGTAACAGTTGTTTCTAACTTACTTTGTTTTCACTGGTGCTCTGTTTCAGATCATCAGCAAGTGTTCGTAGCTAAACTGGAATTTATTCCTTGTTGCTGAATAAGTAAATTACTGTAATTTGCATTGTATAGATCTTCTATAGGCATGGCAGTTGTGGTTGATCTTTGTTCCTCTGACACAGTTTTACTTTTTTACTTGGCCTATTCTTGTGTATCCTCCCTGTCTCTTGTTGGGCAGGAGTCTGCCTCCTGGCACTGTAGTTGTGGCACACTGGGTGTGGGACTCAAGAGGCCTGCTGTAAGTGCTGGTTTTATCTCTTAATAGATAGTCTTGTTAGTGGTTGTTTAGTAACTTGTGTGAACCTTTGTACAAATGAGATCTTCACTTGCTCTGGTGTCGTGTTTGTAACATTTTTGTAATTATACACAGGCAGCTGAGTTTCCCCTACACATTGTTCCATGTCTGAACCAATCAAACCTACAGATTTTCATTGTAAATAACATTTTTTCCATTTAAGGAAAATATTAGGAAATGATAGTTTTTAAAAAGGAGGATTAGTAAAAAACATATGAAATATGACTGAATAAGAGAAAATCATGCAATGAATATGTTGTAGCACTGTGTATAATTTCATGAGCCGTTGTTAGTTTGTATACTGTGTGTCCTTACCAGTTTTTAATGAATAGTCTATTCATTGAAAAATTTTCAAGTTTATGTTTGATAATATAGAGCTCTAACATAATAAAGGTTGTAGTAGTGAGAACAATGGATGGTGAGTTTTGCTTGCACTTTTTGTATTTGTCTATGCCAATCTTCATATCTGTATGAATTTTGGCATTTATACATCTTATAGATCACATGCTTGGATTGGCAGTAGTAATCTTAAAATTTTTTCATTCATTTCTAAGTAATCATATTTCTAAATTATTCATTTATCAATAGGTTGACATGAATTTCATGAGGAAAATTCCTACAGGAGCTGAGGCATCCAATGTTTTGGTAGGAGAAGTGGACTTTTTGGAGAGACCTATCATTGCCTTTGTGAGACTGGCTCCTGCAGTGCTCCTCTCAGGGTTGACTGAGGTCCCTGTGCCCACTAGGTAAAAAGCAGTTCTTTTTCATGACTGTTCATATAGATCCACTGAAAGAATACTTGCTTTGTGTAATAGAGGCACCATTTAATTACTCTATTCAGTCACTGTGCCAAAATACTTTTGAGTGTTAGAATATAAATTATCTCCCGCTTCTCTCAGCTTGTAGCTAGTTTCGTTTTGCAACCGACCTGGAATTTACTGTGTAGTCAAGAATCCTTTCTGGGAGGGTCCTTAACTAAATGCTTTGATCCAGAAGAGTTTCAGAGGGTAGAATTTTTTGTGAACGTTTAGAATTTTTCTGAACTGTTTGATTTGACAGATCTTACTTTCAAGGTTATAGATATGAGCCATCTTCTCTAGTTGTAATAATATTGCTTGAAAACAGCTCTTCATTTGTATGTTTAGCAGAAGTTTTACAAAGCTAGTCACTGAGATTCATCTTTGTGCTGGGGACCTGGCAGCAGGCTTGTTTATGTTCAGTTTTCATACTGTCCTGAGACACACTGAGTCATTGGAGATAGGCACATCTTCTGTGTGTATGTGCAAAATGCTTTGTTCTGGCCTGACGGCAGATTTCCTTTCATGTGCATACAGATTAGCATTGGTTGAGACCATAAAGATAATTAGCAAGTTGTGCTAATCAGCTGATTGAAAAGGAGATCTCTGCAGTTCATTAGCACAAGAAGCTTAATTGAGAATGTGACTTGTTCTCAAAGTAACCTTCTTTACTATATTTGAAGTTTTTTTTGTTGTTTGTTTGTTTTAGATGAAGTCTGTATGACCCAGGTTGAATTCCTATCCTTGGCAGTCGCTTCAGCCTCCTGAGTGCTGAGCTTTAGGCATATGCCACCATGCTAGGGTTTTTTTTTTTTTTTTTTTTTTTAGCAGGGAGGTCCCAAAGTACCTTGAAGAGATTGATAATATACTCTTGTAACTGATTTAGTGATTAAGAGTTGAAGAATTAAACAGGAAAGATTAACAATTAAAAGAAATTTGATGGAAATAGACTTATTTTATGTTTCACAAGTGTTGACACATGAAAAAGGTGATTTGGTTACTTCATATGCAAATTGTCATAAGGCAAGAGGATAAATATTTGGATAAGATTGTTAGTATTTTACATAAGAATGAAGAAGTAATGATGAAACACATTATTCATAAGGTAACCTACAAAAACAGTTAAGAAAATAGTAATATCTGCTACTGTAGTGTTAGAAAGGATGCAACAGTGCTTTTATATAACACTAAAATAGTAACAGGTTTGCTGTTGCAAGTTGAAATTTTTTTTTTTCTCCCAGAAAGGATACTTAACTAAATGATTTGATCCAGAAGAGTTTCAGAGTGTAGAATTTTTTTCTTTTTTTGTGAACGTTCCAGAATTTTTCTGAACTCTTTGATTTGACAGATCCTACTTTCAAGAAATCCGTGTAAGACAAGGGATGTGGCTCAGTTGGCAGGTTTGTGTAGCATGCACAAGCCCTGGGTTCAGTTCTCAGCACTATATAAACCAGATTTGGTGGGGCACACCTATAATCCCATCACTTGGGGTTGAGGGGCAGGAGGATCCAAAGTTCAAGATTATCTCTGACTCCACAGTAAGCTCCACATCAGCCTGGGATACATGACCCTTTCATCAAAATGGAATTGAGCATGGAAGCAGTGAGGTGCTGCACATCTGTAAGCCCAGCACTCAGAAGACTGAGTGAGGAGTTTGATGTCAGCCTGGGGGACCTAGTGAGTGACACCATAATAAGATTGTTATAACTATTGCTTTTTGTCACCTCAGACCAGACTTAGTTGTTTAATCCAGAAGGATATAAAAGATGGGAATTTTTAAGGAAAAAAAAAAAATACCACTTCCTTAAGGAAGCTGGACAGGAATACATTGATAGAGTTAATTGTGAATGCCTTTTATAGTTTCATGATTTGATTTTTGCCCGTTTTTGTTTGGTTTTTGAAATAGGATCTTTTGTAGCCTCAGCTAAGGGGATGGCCTTGGACTCAGATCCTGTTTGCCTCTGCATTCCAAGTGTTGGAATAGAAGGCTTGCCCACCACTCAGTTAAGCTCTGTTTTAAATACAGTTTGCCATTATTTTGTTGGTTCCTGTAGGTGATTACAAAGAAGGTCTGAATGTTGTTACTATGCTTATAATAGAATGAGTTTTTAAAGTTTCCTGGATTTGTGTGTATATGTTATTTCTTTTAAAAATCATCTTTTAATCTTTTCTTAGGTTTTTGTTTCTGTTACTTGGCCCAGCAGGGAAGGCCCCACAATACCATGAAATTGGCAGATCCATAGCCACTCTCATGACTGATGAGGTAATTAAAATTCCCTTTCAGATAGACAATGTGTATGCAATTATAGACCTTCTTTCTCCTGTAGTGAAGCTTATAAATTATTTTTTATGTCTGTCCTATATTATTTCATATTTGCTCTTTTCTAACACATGCCTTTGTTGATGGCTTTAAGATCTGTTTCTTAGGAAAAGGTAGTTTTTAATCTTTTTGCTGCTATTCTTTTAATTTGACCTTGCTGGCTTCATTGAAATTTTGAAGTTTGTTTGCTCTAAATTTCAGAATGTTGCTTTTTTGAGGTGTCCTTGGCACTTTTTCTTTGTTTTTTCTTTACTTCTCTCTTGGTTTTGGAATGTCTTGTTTGGCTGTGACCTCTTTAGTGATCAGGACTTCTGTCTTTGAGGGAGGTTTCTAACAGTGCTTTCCAGACACTGCAGTGCATCTACCCAGGAAGGTGTCAGAAGCCCTGGACATCTGAACCTGATCTGTGTCAGCTACTCACACTTTTTCTGTATAATCACTACTGTTTCTTTGGTAGACACTGACCTTTACCATGGTAATTCAGTTTTTATCTTTGGGGATTTGTATCTGTATTGAGAATAATAAGATGTACATGTGGGTCTCACATTTCCTTGATCTATCTACCTATCTACCTATATTCCTCCTTCCCTCCCTCCCTTTCCTTCTCTCTCTCTCTCTCTCTCTCTCTTTTTTTCTTTCCTTTTTTTTCTATATAACCTTTTTTTTTTTTTTTTTTTGTATATAACCTAAGCATGCCTCAAATGGCTATGTAGCCCAGGCTAACCGGTCTCTTGGTAGTCTTCCTAGCTTAGCTTTTCAAGTGCTGAGATAATGGCATGAGCTACCACATTTGCTTTAAGTTCATATCCAAACCCTTTGTTGGTATTGTTAGAGGACCTTGCACACTTCCCCATGCTTGCACCCTGATTTTTTACTGCCTACCCTCCTCACTTTCCTTTGGCAATAGCAGCTTCCTTTCTGTTTCTTGGGTGAGTTTTGCTGCTTATACACCTGTACATTAAAATTGTGACTCTACCCATTCTATCTGTTAAAATCGTGACCCTACCCATTCTATCTGTTGCATGACTTCCTCTCAGATACCACCTCTGTTTTGTTTCTGTTTGTTTGTTTGTTTTTTAAAAGTCTTGCTGAATAGCCCAGACTATACTCAAACTTACCAATTCTGCCTATCACTTTAGTTGTCAGGGTTATCAGTCTTCTTGGCAACATTTCTTTCTTTTTTTTAATTCTTTATTAATTACACTTTTTTTTTCACTTTGTATCCCCCTGTGGTTCCCTCTCTCCTCCCATCCCAATCCCTCCCTTCCTCCACCCTCTGCATGCATGCATGCCCCTCCCCAAGTCCACTGATAGGGGAGGTCTTCTTTTCCTTCCTTCTGATCCTAGTCAATTAGATCTCATAAGGAGTGGCTGCATTGTCTTCTTCTGCGGCCTGATAATGCTGCTTCCCCCTCAGTGGGGAGGTAATTAAAGAGCAGGCCAATCAGTTCCTGTCAGAGACAGTCCCTGTTCCTATTACAGTGGAGCCCACTTAGACACTGAACTGCCATGGGCTACATCTAGCAACATTTCTTAGCTACTTATTTTTTTTCTGTCCACTTTCTGTTCTGCACTTTGCTTTTGTTTGTTTGTTTGTTCGTGTTAGAAGCTTGTTATTCTGTGCAATCACTAACCTCTCTTTTCTGCCTGCCTGATTTTTGTTGTTTCACACAACGTTGTCCTAGCAAATCATAGGTAACCAATAAATATTTGTTAAGCAAATTATGGACAAAACTTTTTTTGTGCATAATTATTCCTTCAGGATAAATAACATTTTAATGGCAGAAATAGGGTGACCTGACATTATTGTAATGGATCAATTTGTAACAAATTCCTTTTTGTCTGTAAAATGTTTTTCCTTTTATTGACACTTTATTTTCTTCTGTTTGTTGTTGATTCATCTGATAATACTAATGATAGGCTAAGTACTGCCAGATGAAGTGGATGCCTGCCACTGACAAGAATTTATGTAATTTTTTTGTTATTTATTTTACATTGTGTGTGTGTGTGTGTGTGTGTGTGTGTGTGTGTGCAGGGAGGGAGAGAGGTATGTGCTCATGTTAGTGTGGGTACTGTGAAATCCAGAAGATGGCATCATATTCTTCAGAACTGGAATTACAGACAGTTTCTAGCCACCCGAGAGTTCTGGGAACTGAAAGCATGTTGTCTGCAAGCACTGCTTGCTATTAACCATGACACCATTGTTCCAACTCAATATTTCTGCACTAAAGTACATTTTAGTATAGGTGGCTTTTTCTCTGCACTGTAAAATACTTATGCTCAGTATCTTCTTTTCTTTAGATTTTTCATGATGTAGCTTATAAAGCAAAAGATCGAAATGACCTTTTATCTGGAATTGATGAATTTTTAGATCAAGTAACTGTCCTTCCTCCAGGAGAGTGGGATCCTTCTATACGCATAGAGCCACCAAAAAGTGTTCCTTCTCAGGTAAGAACTTAGAGATATGCTTCTGGGGGTTGCTTTCTTTATTAAGGTAAAAACTGTTAATGAAAAATATAAATTATGAACTTTTATGTAAAAACTGTTAATGAAAAATATAAATTATGAACTTTTATGACTCCAAAGTTGTAACAATTTGCAGTGGAGTGGCTCAGTGGGAGACCCTGCGTTTGAAATGGTGGGAAGTAGAAAAGATGATCCCTGAGTGAGGCATCCCAGAAGCAGAAAGACATACATGGTATATAATCACTTACAAGTGGATATTAGACATATAATATAGGATAATCATACTAAAATCTGTACACCTAAAGAAGTTAGCAAGAAGGAGGACCATTGGTAAGATGATCAATGTTCATTCAGAAAGGCAAATGGGATGGGCATCGGAAGAGGGAGAAAACAGGGAAGAAGACAGGAGCCTACCACAGAAGGCCTCTGTAAGACTCTGTCCAGCTGGGTATCAAAGCAGATGCTGAGACTCATAGCCAAATTTTGGAAAGGGTGCAGGGAATCTTATGAAAGAAGGGGGAGATAGTACGACCTGGACGGGACTTGAGCTCCACAAGGAGAGCAACAGATCCAAAAAGTCTGGGCCCAGGGATCTTTTCTGAGACTGACACTCTAACCAATGACCATTCATGGAGATAACCTAGAACCCCTGCACAGGTGTAGCCCATGGCAGCTCAGTGTCCAAGTTGGTGCCCTAGTAAGGGGAACAGGGGCTGTCTCTGACATGAACTTAGTGGCTGGCTCTTTGATCACCTCCCCATGAGGCTGGGAGTGGGGTCAGCCTTAGGAGGCCACAGAGAAGACAATGCAAACAGTCCTGATGAGACCTGATAGGATAGGGTCAGATGGAAGGGGAGGGGGACCTCCCCTATCATTATATTGTAGGAGGGGAATGGCAGGAGAAGAGAGAAGGAAGGGGCTACAGCTGGGATACAAATGAATAAATTTTAATTAGTAAGAAAAAATTTTTAAAAAGTATGTCAGTAGAAATCAGTAGAGGTAGATTCAGAGATGATGTACCTGTATTACTGTATGCTTTGTGCATTTTTATCCCAAACCGATGTTTGTCTGTTGTTAGCTTTGTGGTTGTTCTGATATTGACTCTGTTACCTGGACATGTGAATATTAATAGACTGCTTGTTATTTGCATAATTTAAAGTAAATTATTGTGTAATTTACAAGTTTCTTTTTTCTTTTATGAAAATTTTCTTATATGAGTTTTTCTTTTTTTTTTTTATTTTTTTTAGGTCAGTTCTGATAAATTTTGTTTGCTTAATCATTTACCTACCTTGCCCAGATTTCAAATTTTCTTGAAAATTTTATCTACTACACTTTCCTTGCTTTGTAGAGTTATATCCTGACACATCTTACATTTAGCTAATAGGCTAATTATTTATTATTATTTTCAAACAATAATTTAGATTATTTATCTATTTACTCATTTACTTGCTTATTGATTTGGTTTTTCAAGACAGGGTCTTTGTGTGCCTTTGACTGTCCTGGAACTGTCTGTTGGCCAGGCTGGCTTGGAACTTAGAGATCCACCTACTTCTGCCTCTGGAATTCTGGGATTAAAGGCATGTGCCATTACTTCCTGGATTAGATTTTTTTTTTTTTTTAATGTGTATCTTTTTCTATCATTTCTGCTTTTAGCTGATTTACTTCACTCCTTCTGTTAGTCTTCAGAAAGATTTATTTTCTCCTTTTTGCCTGGCAAACATTTTTAAATTTTTTCTTTAGGTTTAATTTATTTTATATGAATGAGTATTTTGCTTGCCTATGTGAATGTGTACTACATGCATTCTTGGTACCTAGGATCAGATAACTTAAAACTGGAGTTATGCATAATTGTAAACCACCCTGTTAATGCTGGTAATTGAACTCTGATCCTCTGAAGAGCAGCCGGTGCCATCTCTCCAGACTCTGTCTTTTAAAAGTTTTGTTTTGTTTCGTTTTGGTTTTGGAGCTAGTGTTTTACTGTGTAGCTTTGAGTGGCCTGGACCCTCTGTGTAGAGTAGACTTAGTGAAACTTACAGTGATCCTCCTGCCTTAGTATCTCAAGTGCTAGAACAGTGAGCATGAGCCACTGTCTGATGCTTCATATTTTCATGTTGTTTTAGCTATGACTCAGACTATAATATGTAGGATGTTCCATTGGTGTATGTTTTCTGTTTCCCCCTTGGCATTTTCAAGTGTAATCGTACTTTTGTGATTCAAGTCTTGCTGTTCTTTGTTAATACAGTGATGTGGGATCACACATGTGTTACTGAGTATGTCTGTTGCTCCGTATTCCGTTCCTTTATATGTGCTTATCTGCACATAGGTATTCCTTTAGCCTGTGTTCTCTTGAGGTAACTTTTGAAATGTTCCTCATGTGTTTTCATGGGGGAGAAGAGTTTATATCTTAGAAGTGGTTTTATTGATTTTTAAATAAGATATAAGATGATACTGAAGGAATTTCTCTGTTATTTCTCCAAGAAAAACATTTAGTAAAGGAAAAATGTCATTGGTTTTCTCTTTTTCCTATCTGTCCTCCTCCCTCTCTCTTTTCTTTGAACTTGTTAATATAGCCCAGATTTATCTTGAACTCACAGCCTTTATGCCCCAGCTTCTTGAGAACTGGCATTGTAGGTTTGTGGAGAAAGTAGTATCTTTAGAAATTAATGTAAAATTTTGTTCTTGGGCAAGTTTATAGGGCATTTCCTTTACTGACACTTGATGTGGGAGGGCCTAGCTCAGTATGGGCAGTGCCATCCCTGGACTGGTGGTCTAGGATGGTATAAGAAAGCCTACTGAGCAAGCCATATGGAGCAAAGGAAGCAATGTTCCTCCATGTTCTCTGTTCCTGTTCTAGCTCCAGGTTTCTGGTCCCGACTTCCTCATGAAGGACTGTCATCAATCCTTAGAAGGCAGAGTTCAAAGCCAACCAGGTCTACATAGCTAGTTCAAAGTCAGCTAGGAATATATAGTGAGACTTTGTCTTTTAAAAGTAATCAAATGAAAGGCTGGACATGTTCAGTGATAAGCTTGTCTACCATGCACAAAGCTTTGAGTGCCATCTCCAGTGCTACAAAAAGATCAGGGCACATTAGCTGAAATCATAAACCCTTTCCTCCCCAGGTTGCTTTGTTCATGTTTTATCATGGCTGTGGAAACCTTAATAAAACAATAACTATTGTGGAATAGAAATTTGAAATAGTTTTGTGAGTAGATCTTTTAGTACACTGGTGTTAGAATATAAGGTGAAGAAAGCTAATTATAAGTTTAAAATATGAACATAAGTAGATGGTAAATTATTCTAAATTATATCTTATTTTTAAATGTTATTGTTTTAGAATGTTATACTAGGAAACATTTTTTCTAAGAGTACTTATATAAAATCCTCTTAAGATGTAATATTTCCTCTAGACATTGTAGATACCTTGTCAATTTTCTTAAAATTGAATTCTGAAAGTGTATTTTTGTGGAATTCAGGAAAAGAGGAAGATTCCTGTCTTTCCCAATGGATCTGCTCCAATGTCTGTTGAGCCTCCTAAGGAGGCTGCTCATCATGCTGGGCCTGAGCTGCAGAGGACTGGACGGTGGGTATAGATGCTCCTTTGGGAGATTAAACGTTGATTTGATGGAAAAGCACCAATAGTCTTCTTTTTTAACTCCTCAAGTATTTGGGACCCAATCTTGTATTTTTTTATTTTGTGTGTGTGTGTGGTCTTTTTAAAAATGCATTTCTATAACATATATGACATTGAGGACAATTTTCATACATTTTAAAATAATTTTAATAATATATACAAATCATTACTTAAAAATTAAAATAATGGAACATGTATTCAAAATTGTAGTTACTATAGTATGTTGGGTTTTTTGGTGACCTCTACAGAAGGTTCTGAAATAAAATATAGATACTTTTCCAAGTTAAAGAATTATGACATGAAAGAGGAATTACAGAGAATTATTTTTAGATATTTTGCACAGATTTAAAAGTTTTGTGAACATTACTTTTTGAAATATCGTAAAGCTAGGTGGACAAGCATGACTTGACCCTACTATTAGCTTCTGGAAACTTGATTAGAGAAATTAGAAAGTTAATTTTAGAGTAAATAATAGAAATGTTGCCTGGTAAAATTAATAAAATATGTTTAAAATACTTAGTAGTAGCTGATTGTGACAGCATTCCCATACTGTAGACAAATATGGCTTTTGGTATTGCACAGGATACTGGTAGTCATTGTGGAAGTAAAGAACCTGGAGTCAAATCATTGTTAAATGAGAGCATCATGTATAGACACACCATTGACAAGAACAACAACTAAATATATTTAACACAGACTTTAGTGACACTTATAATCTGTGACTATTGAAATGTAAGAGCCTTTAATGAATGTAGTAAAATAGTAGTTTATCTCCATGCCAATAGTGCTGGTCTCCTATTGGCTGAAACCAATTCTTTGTACTTTGGAGATAGGGTCAGTTGTTGAGAAGCACCAAGTTAGATGCCCATCCATCTCAAGCACCCAAGAGACTCCTCTGCCACCTGTTAGTCAGTTGTTTATTTGATAATGGAGACTCATCTTCTACATTGTCATTAGTATCTTTTTAATTTAAAGCTGGTTCCTTTTGCTACAGATCATAGAATGACTTCTACTTATCAACATGCCTTCAGGATTTATTTAAGTATTTAACCTAAAAAGTTAGCATGATAAAGGTTGCAGCATCTAAACTCTCAAGAGCTTGAAGTTAATATTTATCTATTTTCTTGTATTTGGTAATACGTAATTACCCATTTTCTAAGTAAGAAGACTGTCCTGAATTTTAAATTCAGCAATATTTATTGGGTACTTTCTGTATACCAGGCAGAATTTTGCTAACTAGAGGCATGGCATTAATCAAGGAAAGAGTCCATATCTCCTAGGGTGCATATATTTTATTAGAATATTTTCAGATTAAAAATATCAAAAAGCCTAATTTTTTAAAAGTTAAAATGGTATGGCTTTGATGTTTTAATATAAATATAGATTTTTATTTTTCCTAAAACCTCTTAGTTTTATTAATATGCACACTACATGAATAACAATGTACTGAAATAGTTTTTAAGATTTTTCTTTTTCACAGACAGAATTATTTATGTAAATAAATCAAGAGTTAAAAGTCATAAAAATAGATATTAGTTGACTTCTGTATTAAAGCATAGCATACTACATTCGCACTAAAGTCCAAGTAAGATATAATTGCCTTCTCTGTATTTCTGCCCATTGCCTTTTAGATCTATATTACAGATAAAAAATAGAATTACATTTGCACATTTACATGAATGGCTGGTTAGGTTTTGTTTATTGTATGTTTACTTGTCTATTTGCATTCAAAGTTACAATTACTCCTATAAAGTCATTTGCCTGCAGCCTTTTCAGCATATAATATAATACTGTTTCCTTTAATTTGAGATCTATCTTTCCTCTGACATCATTTCACTAGAGTAATGAGTGTATCTTCTGTAAGTTATACGATGATTTAAATTTTTGTTGACAAAACAGTAAGCACCTACAGTTTTATATAGCCCATAGATTTAGTTTGAACTAGTTAGAATCCTCTAGTCTACAGCTTGACGAGTTTCATCTCACCTATTTAGGCTTTTTGGTGGTTTGATACTTGACATCAAAAGGAAAGCACCTTTTTTCTTGAGTGACTTCAAGGATGCATTAAGTCTGCAGTGCCTGGCCTCGATTCTTTTCCTATACTGTGCCTGTATGTCTCCTGTAATCACTTTTGGAGGGCTGCTTGGAGAAGCTACAGAAGGCAGAATAGTGAGTACAAAAGATTGGTAGTGGCCAGGCTCCCAGCTCCTCAGAGGCAAGTGTCTGTATGCATTTGTCTCACTATTCACGCTTGTATTTGAAGAGTCTCCCCACAGCATTAACCTTTCCCAAAGCAGACTTTCCCCAAAGGTAATTGCTGTGGAAAACATGGGGAAGCCATTTGAACAGGAGAAGATGCACAGTCGAGGTAAAAAATAAATGAATAAATAAACAAACAAGCAAACAAAGACCAAGCCGTTTATATCCTACCTTGCTTAATGAAATGGTTATGAATTGAGTAAGACTTCATTGTCTTCTCGGGGGTGGGTGTGTGGTTTGTGGGGGAGATTAACTGCTCTGGGTGGGTTACGGTGGGAAATTTACCCATGGGGCTCCCTTGGTGTGTCCTGCTAATTATCACAGGGTTAGGGTTATGGCCCCAGCTGGTGACTGAGCTGAGACCACTTAAAACAGCAGAACGTAACTGTAGAGAGGGTGGGATTTTGAAGTTATTTTCATTTTGCTATTAAATCTGTGTGAAAGTCACCAAAGCTTTTATTTGTAATTAAGTGCCGCCTCCATTTTTTTTTTTTTCATGTGAATGTAGAGTCCTGTTTGCTGTACTTGTTGATACTGTGCTAGGAACTGGTTCTCCATAAAATCTTGAATCATATTTTATGGGGGGTGTAAATATATTTTAATGGAATTTGAAAGACATGATTTATAATTTTTGATTTCTGAGGTTTGCTTTAAGAATATTTACTCTTGAAAAAATTTGTATTTTTATAGCTAAAAGCTAAAAAACAATAGCTAAATCTAAGTAGTGATAGTTATTCAATTTTAAAGGCATATTGTTTACTGAACATGAGGTGAAAACCTAAAAATTGAAGATTTCTAATTCTGAATATTTATTAGATTCCATTTTTACCTTTTTCTTTAATCATTATTTCAAATATTCAGGTTTTTAGTTGTTTTCTGTATTGTGAGAAATAGTACTTGTAACTCTGCCATGCCCTGTGGAAATGTGGTTTACCTATAACTTTTTGGACGTATTGCTGCTTGGCTCATGGACTGTCTCTGCCTGTCTTCTCCTTCTGCCTTTTGATACCTTGTGCCTGAGATAGTGTTTGGCATTGGAGTAGGAAGAGAGACAAATGTAGGAGGGACTACCTATCTGGAAAGGTAGGAAATGGTAGCCTGTGTTCTCTGGACTGTTTAAGTGAGAAAAGAGACCTATGGGAAAAGAAGTGACAGAAATGAGAAAAAAGAATTTTAAAGAGGAAACAATATGGATGTAAGGTATTTCCTTCCTGTGGCTTTATAAAAATTGCTGTTTTAGGGGATTGTTTTCAGAAGTTACAGAGTAGCAGAAGAAAATATAAATATTAGAGACTATTCATAAGCCAACGAGGGTTGAAATTGAGGTTTGATTATAGGGAGAGAAGGAGCAGTAGAAACTTAGTTGATTTGTAGAATGGAAGGAGTGAATTGGCGCAACAAATTAGACAACCGGAGCCTTAAGATGAGTATGGACATAAAGCAGTTCCACACTGGGAAAGTGGTTTTGGAGCCTCTTATATAACATTAGGGGTGGGGGTGGTAATGGCAGAGCTTCTAGTGGCAGTGTCCACATTTTGGGGAGGAACCTCTAGTTTGTGCTCACCTATGCCAGATGAGATTTGCGATGTATCTTTTTTCAGTTTGTGTGTGTGTGTGTGTGTGTGTGTGTGTGTATTTCACTTACACATTTTCACCTTTAACTCAAGCTCATCCTAAATTTAGTCTTAAAATGTACATATTTTAGTAGAACTAAAGAGATGGTGATGGCATACCTGTGTTTTGTAGTGAAACCCTATTTTTCAGGAAGTAAGTAAATTCTTTAACATATTATTAGTATGGATGCTCATTTTTCATGTTGTCATTACTTCAATTATATTTTGTTACTTTATGATTATGTTTTGGATGATCCTGTTAGAGTTGATGGTGAAATTGCTACCTCTTTTGATATGCCCTAGGCAACAGACAAGGTTTGAATGTGCCTTCCCAGATGCTAGTGGGATTCTAATTATCCTTACCTCCATCTAAAAACGAGAGCTTGGACTGGAAACAAGTTGCCACAGCTGCACTCCAGGACCTGGCCCTGTAGGCTGCCAGGGCAGTCCTGTCCTTGCCTGCTACTGTGCTGTCTCTTGTTTTGGACCTTCCTTTCTTTCTTTCTTTCTTTCTTTCTTTCTTTCTTTCTTTCTTTCTT